AATGCGACACACGGTTTTATCAACCCAAAACTGTTTCCCGCCCTTTGTTGTATTAAGATAAAAATTTCCAGCCTGATCTCTGATATTCCATATTGCATTTGTGAAAAAATACGGTATAGAATACTCGTACATTTACAAAATACTTTTAACGAAATGAAGGCACGTTCCATTACACTAACAAGCTGAAAATAAACATTTGCCGAATAAAAGTAATGAAACATTCGATAGATATTGATATTAATTATGTAACAAAAAGCCTGTGGTTCCCGTTAAGTGCGTTATCAGAATCAGTATTCAAACATATAAAAAACTTTACTTCAGAAAATTCGATCATTAGATACTTAATTAAAATAAAATAGGTTTTCATTTGTAAATTGTAAATGGTTTTGTTAACTATGCATTGGCCGGGGCGTAAGAGTTAAAGACCATGCTTTACTGGTGCGCGGGTTACTCAGAGGTTTCACAATTTGTATTAAATTTGCAAATAAAAATGTATTTAAATTTCATTTTTGGTTATTTCTATTTGTTCAAATACTTTTTATAAGTGACCGGTACCTTAAAGTCAAGGATACGGACTTCGAAATTCAATTGTTAATGATTAAATTGAAAGTCAATTGTTCGAATCCACCATTCGAATAGGTACTGTCGTGGATCACTCATAATGAGAGCATTTTAATCTCAGTTGGAGTGGTATTATTATTTTAACTGGATTCTGTATTGCCATCGATTATTATTAAATTATAAGACATACCTCGCGTCTCGGACTTCGTAAATCGACGTGATTCTTTATTAACAAAAGTGCTAGATAGAATTTCGTAAGTACGAAAGCGATTTTATTCTCTTGATTAGAGAACCTTGATTAGAGAATCGACGTGATTCTTTATTTATAAAAGAGCTAGTAGGCACATGCCTCCTATCATTGCTGAAAAGATGTTAAGGAGCCATCAATCCACCACGCTATTGGCGGATTTCCCGTGTTTTTGAAATATTAATATTCCTCAAACATATAGGTTTCCATACGATGTTTCCTTCACCGACGCGCAAATATAATACTGATAGAGATCAAACCCGGCGTGTTGTGTGAAACTAAGCGCTTAACACCTGAGCTACTGCGGTTATATTATTCTTAAAAAAATTTTAATGGATAAATATTGCTGTTCCAATAACAATTAAAAACTTAAGCGACGTATAACTCGTACGAATTAACTTGAGACCTGGGCCGATGACGTAATTGTCAATGTACGGTGTGCAAAATAATGCGTCGTAATATTTTTTTATTTGAAATTTTTGAGATTTGCATGACATTATTAATAAAAACAAAATAAAATGTTCTGGCAAGGAGTGAAGTAATAAGTGATATACTGTTGCCATTTTTATATATTTTAAATATTTATTTTTTATAATATATATAATATTATTTTTAGTTAACGCGTCAAGGAAGGACAAAGAAATAAACATACACACTTTCTCATTTATAATATTATTAATTTATTTATTATATACTTTATTGCACTATAAAAAGTGTTACAGATTCGTACACAATAAAAATACAAAGCATAACAGGCGACCTTATTGCTAAAAAGCAATCTCTCCCAGGCAACCTTAGGGTGAAAGTGAATTAATCTGGGATAAGCGGAATAGCACAAACTATGTAAAATCAAGGAATAGAAGTAAGGAATATTAATAAGGATTTATTATAATATTTATTATTCATTGTCACTGTATACGATCGGTTCTATTCCGTCCATTAGATCGTTCTCACGTTCACTCTCTGAGCTGGATTCTTCCCCTCCGAGGGATATAATTAATTCTCTTTGTTGGATTTCTCCAAGTCTATCACTATCCCAGTATTCATTTTCTAATCTTTCGATATGGTTAATTTCTTTCTTCCAATCGGAAGCCGTTATAGACTGTATTGCGTCTCTTGTCAAACCCTCTATTTCCCTTTCAAACTGGTTAACATTTTTAGCTGCCACCCTTTGTTTTATTAAGTTCCATATATATTCGATAGGGTTCAAATCACAATGGTAGGGTGGCAGCCGTAATACCTCGTGTCCATGCTCCCTCATGAGTTCGTCCACTATATATTTTTTCGGTGGTTTATTGAGCAGTATTATATGGTACAGTTCCGGTTTCGTAATTTTTTCATCAAAAGTAATGTTGTTTTTCCGAAGCCAACTCTGCATCTCACCTTTCAGGGACGAGCTCACAGGTGGTTTTTCAGACTGCGTTTGAGTGGTAGGGAGCATTGTCTATAACGACGAGACTGTTTTGAGGTAAGTTTGGGATTAATTTTTCTGTCAACCACTTTTTAAAGTTTTTACTATCCATTTCGTGATGGTAGTCCCCGGCATTACTTTTGCATTTGTTGAGCAATTCGGCACCAGGGATAAAGCCGTTTTCACCGCCAGCGTGCACCAATATCCACCGCTGTCCTGGATTATCATTTTTTCTAATGCTTGCGTCATTGTTATTTTGCCAGCATTTGCGCACGGTATAGTGGGAGTGAATCCATGTTTCGTCTAAATAAGTTACGGGTTTTTTGTCCACCCCAAGTTTATTGTTTTCTTACTTCCTTCGTAAATAACGGGCTCTCCAGGCAGCAATGTCTGGCTTTTGTATTAAGACTTTCCCTTACATTTTTGAAATTTTCACAACACAACGTCCAAACTTAACAATAAAACAACGCAATTAACAACAAACAGATAAAATAACGTTCAAGTATAACAAAAACAAACAAAATTCCAAACCAAACAACAAACAATTATCAAAAATATCGAACTAGAGTCGAGACGCGTATCCGTAACAAAAATGCTATCGGTACTGAGCGCGCACGGCCAGCGCGGGACGCGGTGCGGGGAGTCGGGAAGGGGGCGCATTCCAGCGGAGTCTCAAGTTAATTCGTACGTGTTGTACGTGCGAACTCAATACTGGTCGTTAAATGTTTTAGGAGCAATTATTGGCGCTTGGAAGGAGAACAAAAATTTAAATTTATCAGTAATCTGAAATTATTTTCGTAATTGCTGTCATAATTAATAGAATGATGATTTTTCTTTGCGGAAGTCCATTAAAATAAACATACTATAATAATTAGCTGTTATCTGAGTCACTACTTCCTACTCGCCGTCGCGTGCCCTATAACCGCCAACATTGAAACCAAAACCACTACTCAAAATGAGACGCACTACTGTCGATAATACGACGTAATACGTAAAATGCGCTGCCATAGGTCTGCGGTCAGCCAACAATAAAAAAAGAATTATTTTCGCTTATATATTTTAACACCCTTTATTGCAATCAGGCGAATATGAATATTAGCAAACGTCGTAGCTCAAAGGATTAACGCTCGCTGTAAATTTCAAAGTACGCGAACAACCCGGGTTGGATTCCCGCCGCTAAAGAAATTGTAAAACTAATACTTTTTTAAAACTTTGTGTGGAAACCTGCATGTGTGAGAAAAATTATTTGAAGACTTGTAAAGTCCCCTAACAGCCAGGCACCTTTGCCCAGCCGTGGTACGTATATAGGCTGTAATTTTACTTTACTTTACTTTACTTTTATATATGAAGATTTCATTTCTTAAAATATCTGCGTTTATTTGATTTAGTTTTGTAAATAACTTTTTTGTAGCATAATATTAACACATATATTTTTAAAGAATAAAAGTGACAAGCGAGCACATAGCTATAGGTATATATATATAGAGCACATAGACAAAATTACGTAACTTGTTACACATAATTAATAATTTACTAAATATACCATACCTCAACATGCACACATCACATACACTACACAATCACATAACTAACACCAACGGATATTTTATTGTAAAAATACTACATAAGTTTAAGTTTATATATATATATATATATATATATATATATATATATATATATATATATATATATATATATATATAGCACATAGACAAAATTACGTAACTTGTTACACATAATTAATAATTTACTAAATATACCATACCTCAACATGCACTCACCATATACACATACACTACACAATCACATAACTAACACCAACGGATATTTTATTGTAAAAATACTACATAAGTTTAACTGTAAGTCAAAAATCTATGTGTTACCCAAGTTCTAAACATTAATTTATATAAATGAAGGACGGGAAGAGCGAAGCCTCCTAACACAAGTTTCTGAACTTAAAAGGAGTGTTCCAATAATGTATTTAATTTTAAGTATTAGTGGTTTGAGAATAAAGATTTTTTTTGATAGCTCACCTGATGGTAAGTGGATGCTGTGGTCCATGGACATTTATCCACGTTTTCGTTATTAGGAGTCCTTGTAAAGCTGCAGCGATATTTCACGCCGGGACAGATGCTTACTTTATATAAAGGGCAAGTCCGGTCGTGGAGTATTGCTGCCATTTATGGGCTGGTGCTGCAAAATGCCACCTAGCGGCCTTGGACTTAATGGAAAGGCATGCTAAGAGGCTTATTAGTGACCCGAATTTAGTGGAAACCAATCTTACCAGCCTCGAACACCGGCGCAAATTAGCCAGCCTTTCGCTCTTCTACAGGATGCATTTCGGAGAGTGTGCGTAGGAATTGCATAATTTAATTCCTCCCTCTCCCTTCCACCATCGGACAACCAGATGTTCGGCCAGTCTCCACCCTTTGTTGACTTACCACGAATTTTTTAATGGTTTCCGCCGGTCAGTACACCCCCACCGACAGGATTATATTGGCAGTTTTCACAGTTTTGTACACTTTTTAAACATTTTTTTATTACTTATTTCTATGACACATGGAGAAGGCTACGCATTTCTGCTATTTGATACATATTGCGTATGCCTTCTCTTTATATTAATAAAATTTGTTTAAGAGTTTGAAATTTTCGCACATAGTTATTATTCTAATAAAATTATCATTAGGTGAACATAAATATTCTTGTGTTTTCGTAGTCGCATCAGAAAAGAAAAATAAGAGTGATGAAAATACAAAAAGAAAGGCTAAAATGAATTAAATACTAGAACAAAGAGTAATCTTGACTCTAAGCAAAAAGTATAATATAATGACAATTAAGTAATATTAATTCTAAACACAGACAACGTTGTATAAAGACAGCAAAAAAGGGAGGAAACAAACTCATAGAGTAATCTTAATTCTAAACATATTATAATAACAGTGGTATAATAAAATAATATAATGACAATGAAATTAATTGAAATAAACAATCTTAGTTCTAGGCACATGAATAAAAATTGTGAGTACAATAAGGTTGATAACAGTGAAAATTAAAATATTAAAAGCTCAAAGCATCTTAATTCTAATGATAATCAAAGGTTTAGCAACTACAACATATGGCAATAATTATAATTATATCTAATAAAATACCAAAATAAAGAATATCAGAATTAACCAAATTTAAATCAAGCCTCGGTAAATATTTAAAACAAAACCCCTTCTACTCAGTAGAAGAGTATTTAGATAAAAAATAACAATATTATATATTTTTATATCTTTTATAGCTTTTAATTTTATTTTATGTATGTTAATAGTACATAAGCAGTGCCCTTGTCAAATTTGCAGTGCCTGAAAAGGGCGTCTAAGTTGTAAGCACATTTTTAATTTAATACCAATTATGTACACTTAGATTGCAAATAAATGATTTGATTTGATTTGATTTGATTTAACAATTACAACATATAATAATTATTAATTATATCTAATAAAATAAATAAAGAAAACAAATTAAAAAGAAGTGGTTGCTTAGTTACTAACTATTGCTATTGCTATTTACAGATGCACAGTTCTTATTGAAGTACTCTTTTAAAAATGTTTTTAACAAATTGAATGAAAGAGTCCAAAAGGGATTCCTTTTTCACTAATGCGGTTAAGTTAAATTGAGGAGTTCTTAAATTTTCACAAAGTATGACATGATTTAATCGTTGCACTGAATATGCTGGGCAATGCTCAATGAGATGTTCCAGAGTTTGTGGGGTGACATTATCACAAGGACAATAATTATTGTCAATTATTTTGCAGCGATAAAGATAAGCTTTGTGAAAACCATGGTTTGTGAGCACCTGGGTGAGATAAAAACTGGATTTGGTGATAGTGCGTAACTTCTCGATATTCTCCAGTGTTGGAAGCAGTCGTTTGGTGTGTTGGCCCTGCTCTGCGCTATAATACCTAGCTTGCCAGGTCGCGATTTTGAGTTCTGATTGTGTGTTTAAGGTATGAAATGGGAAAGGCCAAGTAGTCAGGTTGTTTGCGCAACTTGGAGCCAGCATTCGCAGCCTTATCAGCTGCCTCATTGCCAGCTATGCCAGAATGACTCCTGACCCATCCCAATTCTATGATGCCTGTTTCTCGGTACTCGTGTATAGTTTTGTGTATTTGTGTAATGATGGGGTGTGTGTTGCTTCTGTTTTATACAGCGTGTATAGATGAAAGTGAATCTGTATGGATGACCGTGTGTGTATATTTGTGTTCCTTGATCCACCTGCATGCCTGCAGAATGGCAAATAGCTCCGCTTGGAATACTGTAAACGTGTTGTGCAATTTAAACTTCTTTGTGTAAGCCACTTGATTAAGATTAGTAGGGAGATAGCACACGAAAGCGGCTCCCACTGCACCGTCTTCCTGCTTACTACCGTCAGTGAATATAAAATGTGTCGTCTGTTCAGATGTAGATCCCGTAGATGTGAAGTTTGTAAATATTTTAGGAATAAAGTAAATACTTTGGGCAGGATGCAGGAGTTCAGAACGTTGGTAGTCAGAGTCTCGCTGGAGATGTAGTCAGAGGTACCCAGAAGCCGAGCTCTTTCCACAGCGCAAACTTCCCGCACTTTCAGGTCCAGAGGCATAGACTGGGCTAACGCGAGGGCCGCGGATGAAGATACCGTGCGGAATCCCCTAATAGCCTTAATGGCAAATCCGCGCTGCATGCTCCCGAGTGCCCTTTTCTGGGCAACGTGTAACCAAATTCCAGCAGCGTATGTGATAGTTGGCACGATCACTTGGTGGTAAATGGTACTGATGTTCTCAGGATGGGCTCCCCATGTGGGTCTCGAGTACATACAAAGTGTGTTGAAGATTCGCACGGCCTTTTTGATAACATGTTTCACGTGTTTCCCAAAGTTTAATTTTTCTTCTAAGATGACTCCCAATAGTTTAACCTCTGGCACAAAGGAAAGACGGTGCCCGTCCATGTTAATGCTGGCTACATTAGCCTTGGGAGTGAAGGCAATGAGCTTAGTTTTAGTGGGACCGAAGGCCAGCTTGACCCTCCTTCCCCACTCGACTATATGGTGGAGAGCTAAGTTGGCAGCGCTCTCCAGCTCGCCGACACTCGCGGCCGTGACAACCAACAAGACATCATCCGCAAAAGCCTGTATGTGGCAGCCCGCTGGAAGCCTCGCATCAAGCAGCTCGTCTAGTATGATACTCCAGAGAACAGGCCCGCACGTGGAACCTTGTATGCAGCCCTTAGACATCGTCTTGGTGACTCGCCTCCTCGCATGGTCAAGGATGACTTCCGGATCGCGGACATAATCCTGGATGAGTCCAAAGATGTTATTAGGGCATTGAATATGCCGCAACCGGTGGAAAAGTGCAGGCCACCAAGCGTTGTCGAAGGCTGCTTTAATATCCAAAGATATCGCGATGCTGAGGGGTTTTTCTGATTTGGCTAATTTAATTATTTTAAGAACTGTGTTAATGGCTTCGCACGTGCTTGTCTGTTCCCGGAAACCGGACTGAAATTTGTTTAGTCAATTGTTTCGCTGCGCATGGTATACGACCCTTTTAATAAAAAGCTTTTCCAACAGTTTGCCAAACACAGGTAGAAGTCCTATTGGACGAAAGGACTCTAAGGCACTGTAGTCGGACTTGCCCGGTTTCGGAACATAATTTTTACGTATGTTGTTTTCCACTGGTCATGGAAGTGTTGGAGTGTAAGACAACGGTTCAGTATATCTGTCAGAAGTCGAGGGTAATCTGTTGCCAATTGCAGACATATGTCAGATGTGAAGTTATCAAGTCCGGGAACCTTCTTGGGGCTCATTTGTTTTAAGCACTCTAACACCTTCTCCTGGGTGAGGGAAGGGTCATCGTGGGACTGAGGAGGGTCGTCATTTCTGATCTGAGCTCGTGATGTCGCGTTAAGGTGTCTGTGGAGCATCAGGGTAGAAGTGATCAATGAGTGCTTTGGCAGTCTCCTGGCTGTCTGTGGTGTAGGTGGAGCCCCTATTGGGGGTAACTGGTGGGCGCCTAGGGGTGGCATTTTTGAGAAGTCTGTTCGTGAGTGACCAGACATTTTCCTTAGTTTGCAATTCGCAAAACTCACGAAAATCCCTAGTCGACTCCTCGCGCATCTTGTTGGCGTATAGTTCCTTTTTTTTGTTTCCTCGTTTCTAAAATATGTTCCAAAGGCATACCCTGGCGCTTGTCAGCGTGGAGCTGATAGTGTAAATCCACCACCTCCTGCTTGAGGGTCTCCAACTCCTCCGTCCACCAAGGAGCCTTGGGCTTTGTTCCCCGGCTTTCAACATGCATGCTGGCTCGACATGCAGAGTGGATCACATTGGTTAGTTCGTTGATGATAAGTTCCAGATCATCAACGTTCAGGGTAGAAATATCATGTTCGAGTATGTTTATGACTGTGTCATGTGTGTGTGCAGTTTGTCCTTAAAGATAGGCCAACAAGCTTTATCAGATTTGTACAGGAAAGTGGAGTTTTGATATGTGTGTGTGTGTTTGGTGTTAGATGTGTCAAAGTCGATGCAATAGTCTATTGCATTATGCTGGGAAATTGGGGAAATGTTCAAGTTGACACGCCACTCCAAGATTTTATCGATAATGGAGCCGGAAGCAAATGTGAGATCGATTATTGAAGTGCAATTTCGCCCGTGGGTGACCGTTTCATACGTAGGGATGTTACCAACGTTGCATACATACATGTCATTGCTGTGTATTATATCTATAACTTCGTTGCCCCTTGGGTTTGATTTTACGCTTCCCCAAATCGGGTACCACCCATTGAGATCGCGCCCCACTACCTTATGAGAATCGCCTGTGTTTTTAAGAAAGACGTCAAGCTTATCGAGCGTATTTGATTCGTCAATATTCGGCTCCACATATACGGACGCAATATAAATATTGCGATTACCAAACGTGATTTTTATTGCGTAGAAGTTGGATGTAGAGTATTGCGATAGTCCCAAGATGGACCCGCATCCTGGTTTTGCTAGGATGCAGACCTTAATCTTGTTGCTCGTGAAAAATTGATATGTGTCAATTCCAAATGTTGATTTTACCTGTTCTCCAGAATCAATATATGGCTCGGAGATGAGTGCGATGTCATAATTACCGGCCATAAAGGCCGGAGAGAAGAATCTCATGTTGTGCATTCTTACATCTGTCGAGGTTGCACTGTAAATGTTTTAATTTATTGTGTGTATGCATAGTCGACACGATTATTTATCTTCTCCCTCATGGCTCGCAAATGTGGGCAGGTATTGGAGTTGGCCGTGTGTTTAGTGTCCAGTTTAGTGTTGAAACGCGTAATGTGTGTGTGGCAGTTTATATACTTTGCGCTTTCGGTCTTATCCTTGTTAGAACAATTGCTCACATCGTGCTCTGTGCTCGCACAATGTGAGAAGAAGCTTTGGTCCGCAATGTACCTTAGTTTTGTATGGCCGAACTGCAGGCACCTGTGGCACTGGAAGAACGGCGAGAAACTAGCAACATGGACGCGCTGGTAATCGATGCTGATACGATCCATTGTTAACATTTTGCTGTATACCTTAGGATCAACTAGAAGAACCACGTTATACAGGTTATTGTTCTTATTGTCCCGTTTAAATCTTAGTTTAAGGCCCTCACCATCATCACTGATAATTTCGTTAATTTCCTCATTTTCCTGTCTAATAATTTTTGTAAGATCGTCTGCTGGAACATCCTTTGATATGCCCTTTAATATGACCATGGGTCTAAGTTTCCGTACGGGTTCAGCCTTAATTTCAGTTTTTCCCTCGAGCCTCGTTAAGCCTCGTTGTTGTTGGACACAGGCTGAATACGAGCCGGTGCGTAATTGGCATTGCGGTAATTAATGTTTTTTTTTTTATATAATTCCACAGCCACCTGGCGTGACTTAACCTCGACGGTCGGGCTAACTATGATTGCCGGTTTAGTCGCTGGTGAGGAGCTGCGGAGGACGGTTGGCCCAGCAGGTGCAGGAGGCCCGTGATTCGATGCTGCTGCTTGTGCGTAAGAGGGCTTGTTGGCTGAGACAAGTTTTTAACACTGGCAATCTCCTCCCTCACACATGCGAGGATCTCATCCTTTAACTCGCTGTTTGATGTTGGTGGGCTAGAGGAGACGACAGACTTGATGGAAAGAAGAGATCGTGTGGCAGTTCTAATTTCTTCAACAGCTTGGCTGATGAGTCGCGTATTAGCCGCGGTCACTATCATCCCTTCGTTTACCGCGGTACTGATGCAGGAGGCAAGTTTGCTTATCACCATATAAAAACTGTCTAACCTCCTCACCTAAGCTCCTCGGCCGAAGCTGGGAGGGGGAGGGGTTTGCCATGTGACGGCGCCATTTTCACTCAACACACATAATACAATGTAATCAGTTGGTAACACGAAAATAAAAAATTATTTAAAAAAATTAAAATGTCTATTATTGATATATACTTTAGTTTAAAAAGTGCATTTTTAATGTACAGAGATAATATACACTCAAAAATTAAAGAAATAATAAGAGTATAAAAAATTAAAAGAAATTGAAGTTATGTAAAAGAAAAGTACTAGTTCAAAAAATATCTGAAATTTTGCACTGTTATTCTATAAGAGTTGATGCACTTGATAGTCACTAAAAATAGGTTATCACTCATAATTTTATTGCAATAATTGCTTAAATTTACAGTACATACTTGGGAAAGAACTGCAAATAGGCTGGTAAAGTCCAGGATAATGATTTCCGGCTAAAACCGGATACGGTGTTTTGTAGCACAGGTGTCCCCCTTTGAAGTGGCGTCTTCAAAATTTTCCGGAGACGTCTGAAGACGTCCGGATCCGAAGATGGCCCACCACGCATTTGAACTAAACGGTTTGCTTCGTCGTTCATCATGCGTACAGCAAAGGAGTGGAATAAGTTGGCAGCTTCTGTCTTTCCATCCGATTACAATGTGGGTGTCTTCAATGGAAGAGTGAATAGGCTTTTGTTAAGTCAGTGCGCTTTACCATCTTAAGCTATATCACCACTAACTATCAGGTGAGATTGTAGCTAAGTAAAAAAAATAAAAAGGTAAAAAAAATCCTCAATTATGAATCAAAATGTAGATGCGTTGTCACCACACAACATAACAAAGACGTAATGCCTCGTTTTCAGTAAAGAGGTTCTCCGGTTCCTCTACACTCACCTTACCAAACACAGCAACATTGGGCTGCTAATTTATGTTGGTATTCTGTGACAGCGTGGTTCATCACCTGTTGAGCTGACCCATTCGCGCTACAATGATAAGCGAAACGATAACGACATAATTCGTAAAATGCGCTGCCATAGGTCTGCGGTCAGCCGACAATAGAGAAAAAAGAGAAATTATTTTCGCATGGGTTTTAGCGTATATATATATTTTAACACCCTTAATTGCAATCAGGCAAATAGGAATATTACCAAGCGTAGTAGCTCAAAGGATTAGCGCTCGCTGTAAATTTCAAAGTACGCAAACAACCCGGATCGTTATAAATAATAACTACTCATATGAATAGCTCTACCACGTGCAAATATACATATATGTATTTTAAGTTCTTCTTTATCCAAAAGTTGCTGGAATATATTGCTTTTAGCTATAATGTTACCCATTTTTCAACTTCTTAAAAATATAATTTAAAAAAAATAAAGTAATCCCTAAGATGCATATTATTATTTTGTAATTTTTATTTATATGAATAATTTACAAAATAAAGTGATACAATTTGATTTAATTATCAGGTAATTTAAGGTAAGGCTTAAATTTTAAAATAGCAAAATTACTTTTAGAAATTAAGTGGTAGCAACTGTAGCAAATAAAAACTTGAGGCGATGAAAGAGGTAAAATATAAAACGTAGGCTAAATTATGGCGGATATAAGCGAATAGTAACGAATACTTTTTTGTGTAGAAACTGGCGCCGACTGCGGTGGTGTTACGTCATAGGCATTTAACCGATATACGTTGGTTTTCTCTAACAGAAGAGTTATGAAGATTGAGAAGTACAATATGTCACGACAGTATTCAACAGCATTCAAACATGAATGCTGTTAAATACTGTCGTGACATGTAATCATACAATACATATAACGTAAATCGCGTTTTAAAATTACACTTTTATCTCGTTATTGGTCAAGGTTATTCAAGTGGTTAGACATAACGATTTAGAAATATCTGGTGCGATTAACCCCTCTGTGAATTCCATAGGTGGCGATAATGCTATTTCTACAAATAAAACATAAGAATAAACGATCTTTACCCTTTTAAGCCGTATCCAAATAGGCTTGACGAAATGCTTAGCAGTGCTAATCGGCTATTTCGGCATATGATTCATATAAATCGCATACAGAAAGTTTGCCAATAATCACCCTCTCACTTTTGCCGAACGTGTTCCGCACTTGTCTGCTCAGTACCTTCAGCAAAACTTTTTCACGCGAGTTGTACTTTCAAGAATTGTCTATCAGCCAGAATGTCCTTAAAAAATATACAACGGGAAAAAATATGAAAACAGTTATTTTTTTTATTAAAAGATCAAAACTTCGTCTAGCTAGGAAGCTCAAAGAATTTAAAACGTGTCCAAAGCTTACAAATTTAATTTCCAGATATTCAAATACAGTGCTCTTTCACACACGCTAAAAAATCAGTGACATTTGAAATATATATTCATTTCAATTTTTCATATTATTATTAAAACTTTATTATTTTCACAGAAGTATTGTAACATAGCACATACATAGAGTCTGACGGCATTCTCTGCCAGTCAAACCAGAGCATGATGTAATATAATCAGGTACTATATATTTTAAGTGAGGGAGCCATGCAGCAGCTACGTTGTTAAAATACTTAAGTCGGCAACGAGGAGTAGCATCAAAGGAGATGGTCCATTTCACGCTAAGTCTATGTACACTATACCGTGAAAAACAAAAACTCAGGGATTGTATTAAAAATAAAATAAAAGATAAATCAAACTAAATGACTTGCTAAATATAAAACTGCTATTCCAATTTTTAATGAATTACAAGATGGCGCTCTTCTGGACATAAAATTGTAAGTCAAATGTTATGCCTGACAAGTGACTTCAGTCATGAAATAATGTAGGTAGTGTGATATTTTTTTGTTTATTCCGAGCTTATTCGTGAATTTGTGCACTCGCGAATGCGTTTATTGTGTTTCTTTTGAATTCCCTTGGAGATCTAGTCCTTTTTTTCGGACTTTAGATTAGTTACTACTTTTTTGGCTTGGTTTATGTTTTAAGGACTTCATGATTAACATGAGATTTTGTATTCATTGATATCGGACATCTGTAGAATCACATTTGGAATCATCGACTTTGAGCCATCTGGCACTAAATATTGATAAAACCATCAAAACACACACACGCAACATATTAATGAATGCAAGAAACACAAATATTGCATTCAAAATCAAACTTACAAATCATGTATCATCGAGTTCCTGATATAAATTTCATTTTCAATATAATATAACTTATACTTAAATTAAAAATACACATACTCCTGAAGAGAATATACCTGAGAGAATACCTACCATATTCTCTTTTAATAATTAAACCTATTTTTTATCTTTAGATTTTTCTTATTTAAGTACATAATTTATTTGAATAGTTCTAATTTGCATTGTATTGATCGGATGATATTTGTACTCCAAATTAACCCAAAATTGCACGACTTAATTTATGAATGTTATGTACATTTGTTATGGATATACATATCAGAGATTATAGAAATGTGTACGTTTTCGTGATTGTCATATATGTGTATTGTAAGTGTACTTGTTAAATAAATAAACAAATAAATAATGCAAAGAAATAATTCTGCACGTAGGTACCGCTGATTTATCTGAAAAGTATTCTATTCTGCAATTAGGTAGTACTTTTACATTTGTTTCCTCCTGAATTGCATGATATTGATATGCAAATATTAACAACAACGTCATTTGTTCCAAGATCATAATAGCACTTCCCCAATCACTAATACACTTTATTCGTGTTTTATCAAAAAGTACAACCTTTTGTACTCTCCCTTCGGACTGGTTTCGAGACATTTTAGCCATTGTACATAATAAATCAACATCAGTCATAAGAATACACAGAATTTTAGAATTCAAATATCTGTCAAAAAATTGATCAATAGCCTCATGACAGTTGACGGCCGATGGCAAAACGACATCAATTCGCCATTGGTGTTGCAGTTTTTGGTAAGAATAAAATGTTAATACCACTGAAATAAAGGCAGATTCGTGGGTTTGAATAACGAAAATTGGTATAATCTATTATTTTAATTTATTTCCTTACTTGTACAAAACCAATCCTACGCTTCATACAATTTTGGACCATCTCATTTGTGAGACTTCTGGTACGGCCTCTCTACAAAAAAGAGACCTATCCACAGTGACGAAATTTCGCAAGCTGATAATGAAGTAAGAGACGGGAAACGAATGAGACGAATTTCACGTGGTAATTTCACTTTTAAAAATTTTAAAATATGACGAAGTGAATAATGCTATATCAAAATACAGAGAGACAAAGTCTTTATTTTTTGTTGTTTGTATGATTTCACAGCTAGCCTCACCGAGCGGCCACGTTAGGTAAGTACGTAGTACTTTATTTATAAAACTGAAGCGAAAAAACAACGTGCAGAAAACTTTTCAAACAAAGACTACAGATGCGTCGTCTCCTTTTTATCAAATAATGTTAGATATCTTTTTTGTAAATGATCGCGTTGTCAGCCCTGAGGACTCAGTTGCAATGCCTCGTTTCCAGTAAAAAGTCGTTCGTAAATAAACCAGGAGATGGGTGGAAGCATCTTCCTTATACAATCTGGAATATCAAAAAACTGCGCTTACCAAACCAACCGTGCTAGGGAGAGCGTGTGGGAGAACTATGTTTAGCAGTAAGTAAGTTGAATGTAATTAAAATAATGATAAAACATTTCTTAAATGTACCCAAAAAACATAAATGGAATTGTTAGTAAATTAATGATATTCATAACTCTTGCAAAAGTTTTTACAAACGACTATACAAAGTTCAGTAATGCAAAGTGCCGTAATTTCCGCTACATTATCAAATCGCTTTTAAATTATTTGACATATTATCTACAAAACTGCAAATTGAAATTTAACTCAGTCATGAATATTTGAATTAAAATCAAATTTATTAACTTCCACACGTAGTTAAAATATTTATACAACTAAAATAA